GGCCAGGTTGGGCTGAACAGGTGGCTGAGAGCAGCCTTATTAGGAAGCCAGCCCAGTGCTTTAGAGGAGAGTTGTGGGTGTGCAGGAAGCACACGACCACGGGCAGACTTTGCTGCGTGCGTGTGCACAAGGGACACATCCAGGAAGGCTGGAGAGGTCCAGAGGGTCGGTGACCCTGAGATACCTGTCGGGGAGACAGAGAGAGACAGTGACCCACGAGGGGTGAATGCTAAAAGTCTTGGAGCTGAGGAAAGCTGCTGAGGACTGTATTTCCAGGGAAAGTCCTGGGACTATAACACTGGGAGTGTATGGGACAGCCAGATGTCGGTGAGACCAAAACATGATGTGTTTATGAGAGTCCAAAGAACTTTTATGCTTTGTTTATGCTGAAGAAAAGCAAGTTAGGTTGTGAAGTTCATGGACTGTTGACCTTTTGAATGAATAAAGACTGTCCTTTTGTGTTAAAGTCGGCTTCAGGAGTGGTCACTTAGCGCTCACCATTGTGCTATATTCCCCAAACATCACACAAGTTACAGACTTTCAGCTAAAGGAGGAAAAAAATATATATATGGACTGTCTACAAGTGGGGTGACATGAGTGAAACATGGTCCAAAAAGAAAACTAAGCCGTTAACTATAATACAGTGTAACAAAACAAAGTTGAAAGGACTTGGGAATACTGGTTAACAATAGTGTAAGAAACACCAAGCAAAGCCAAACAGCAGATGCAAAAGCAAACAATCATGACATATATAAAAGGGAAATAATTTTGCCACCACAGTAAGAAAATAGATGTTCTGGATTCAGAGATAGGTAACTAACTTAACCCCTTCGTGACTGATGACGTAGCATCGGGGCTGTTTAAACAGAGTCCCGGCGGGACTCTGTTTAAACTTGTAGAGCCGACTGTCGGCTTTACAACAGAAGCGATTCTGGCGACTTACATGTCAGTGCGTCCTTCTGGAGGGGGGCTACTTTTGTACTCCATGGTCCCTCTGTGCGATGTAAAGTAGCCACTGCTCCAAGCTCACTCCCATGATGGACTGCAATCTCACATTTAGTTTACTAATTGGTATTGAGATTGTGTGATGTAAAGTAGCCACCTCCCCAAGCTCACTCCTATGATGGACTACAATCTCAATACAAATGAGTAAACTAAACGTGAGATTGTAGTCCATCATGGGAGTGAGCTTGGGAAAGTGGCTGCTGTACATCACACAGAAGGACCATGGAGTACAAAAGTAGCCCCCCTGCAGAAGGAAGGACAGTGTTGGCACCAATTCAGAGATGATTTGAGGATCTACAGCTGAGTGATACAAAAATAAGTTACATTTTTGTTAAGCCCTCATTCACACGAGAAACGGGCGGCCCGTACAGCTCCGTGCTGCGTGCAGGGCCTTATCGAGCAGCTCCCGGGAAGGACATGTGCTGCGTGTGATTACACGCAGCAGCCTGTCCTTCTCTATGGGAGTATGCGGCCATACGGCGCCCTACGCTCACCCCACCTGCATATCTATGCGGATCTCCGCATTCGTACGCTGACAGGATGGATCCTGCCTGTGTCCAAGCAGGGACACCCGTATCCATACAGACCCATAGAGAAGGACAGGCTGCTGCGTACTAATCACAGGCAGCACCAGTGGCGGAACTACCGCCGGTGCAGGCGGTGCGGACGCACCAGGGCCTCGGGCCTCTAGGGGGCCCAGCGGGCCCCCCAAACCTGTCCTTCCCGGGAGCTACCCAATACGCTGTGCACGCAGCTGTACGGGCCGCCCGTTTCTCGTGTGAATAAAGCTAATAGTTAAGATACTTTAAAGCATTTTTAAGATTTAACTCCTGAGTTTAGTGTCACTTTAAAACAGGATGATTTCCATGCAACTATTACAAAGTTATTATTACTACAGGCTAAAAAAAAAAAAAAAAAAATATTATGATCCAAGAATTTGGGTCAACTGCCTTTGGGAAGTTTTGAAGGGATTGTTTCCCTATGTGTAGCAAAATTAGCAACAGTTGCACAGGGGTTTTTATTTTGCCTTATTCTAGACCAATTTTTGCAAGAATTATGAGAACTTGAACTTACTGAGCTCTCCTTTTGAGTATACTTGTTCCCTGGCTGTCTAACCGGTTCTGTCACTGACAAATATCCAGATTAGGAGTTCTATCTTCAATCTTTTCTGAACTGCGTATTTGTTCAGGTCAGTGTCCGAAGGTATTAAAGTCAGGGACAAGTCAGCAGTGTCAAGTTCTGTATTTTCTGTCAGTACTTGATTCTTATCTGTAACTGGAAAAACACAGCATGTTAAGTTATAATAGTTTAAAATACACTGCCTGACCAAAAAAGCCATATGGATTAAGCAAATAGGTAAGAGCCTTCCATTGAGTAATTAGTCTATGGTCAGCAATGTTATGTGTCCAAAAAATTAGGTCAGCTGCTGACCTGAATATACCGATTGACCAGGTTTTTCCATAAATTGATTTTTTCTTGCCTGTTGGCATGGGCAGACTCCAAGATGACAACGCCAGGATTCTTTGGGCTCAAATTGTGAAAGAATGGTTCAGGGAGCATGAGACGTCATTTTCACATATGGATTAGCCACCACAGACACAACTCTCCCATCATCACTACATGGTCTTGGTGAAAAATGAATGCAAAACTGGACAAAGCATGTTCAGCTCATTCATCCCATGGTGTATACCAAGGGTATGGCAGGATGGAGCATGCTGCAACTCTGTTTTTGGTGAAGATGAACATGCTTTGTGGTCCTGCAGCTTCAATCCAAACATAAATCACATCACATCATCATGTCTGAAGAGCAGTAGGAGACCCTGAACAGCGACGGAGTTAATTATATGCGATCGTTTTTTACTTATCTTGTGAGTAATTTTTATCTATTTTAACCACCTCCCGTCCATAGCTGTCTGTGAACGTCCGGATGGGAGTTTTGTAGGAGCGGGAGGGCATCTTAAGACGTCCTGCCACTCCCCCCGCTCGTGTGCGGCGCTCAGCGCGCACACGAGCGGGAAAACTGTGAGCATGTAAACAGCCAGCGATGGCTGTTTACATACAAGCGATCAGACGCCCGATCGCTTGCAGGAGCTGCAGGTGTGCGCCCCCTCCCCCGTACCTCTGTCCCGCCGTCTCCTCGCCGCCGCTGCCGGTCCCGTGATCCGGTACGGCTGGGACCGACACGGCGACGCTCTAACAGCAGATCAAAGGGAGATCAGTACTCAACCATTGCACTCCAACATCGCTGCGAACGTTGGAGTGAGAGCAATAATAACATTACATTCAAGCGATCAGGCATCTCTAGAGACGCCCGATCGCTTGCAGGAGCTGCAGGTGTGCGCCCCCCCGTACCTGCACCGCCGCTGCCGGTCCCGAGATCTGCTGTGCCTGATGCGACTGGGACGCTCTCAGTGAAGATCAGTGCACAATCTCCCTTTGATCTCTTCTCTGTCCCAGAATGCAGGATGTGATGTATATTACATCACTTCCTGCATTCAGTGTCACTCTCCGGTACAGAACACCGGTGAGAAGCCGATGAAGCAGAAATCTGCTTCATCAACTTCTCTGTGGGTCCTTAAGTGACATTAGGGGTCTTAGAGACCCCTGATGTCTCAATAAAGAGGACCTGTCATGTAAATTGGCTATCATATAAGGGATTTCTTAGTCCCGTAAGTGATAGCAATAAAGTTAAGTGTAAAAAAAAAATTAAAGCATAAAAAAAAAGATAAAGAAGCACAAAAAAATTGTTGCAAATAAAAAAAAGTTAAAAACCACTAAAAATGTTTTAAAGTCCCGCCCCTCCCCAACATACACACGCAAACACACGTCGGGGGGCACCAACGTGCGAAAATGACAATTCCGCCTACTGTGCCGCACATGTTTACATGTCACCGCGAAAGTTGTAATGAGATCAATAATTTTAGGGCCATTAATCACTGATAAAATTAAACTGATGAGCGATAAAAGCTTTTAAAGCGTTGCCTATGGCCAATTTTGGGTGTGGTCGTTTCCTGCGATTTTGCGGGAGCGCACAATTTTAAAGCTTGACATGTTAGGTGTCTATTTACCCGACGTGACCTCGTCTTTTATATTTTACCAAACAATTGGGGTGATAAATGTTTCATAACATTTTATAGGGTTTTGTTTTTTTTTACAAAAGTTAGGGTACTTTTTTTGTTATATAGTAAAAAATAAAAACTCCAGTGGTGATGAAATGCCACCAAAAGAAAGCTCTATCTGTCCCCAAAAAATTGAATAAAATTTGTTTCAGTACAGCGTTGCATGACTGAATAAACGTCAGTCAAAGTACCGCAGTGCTGAACACTGAAAAATGGCCTGGCCAGGAAGGGTCTTTAAGTGGTTAATAAAGCGTGGTTTTATAAACTTAATACACTATGAGCTCTTAATATGTCTCCCTTCTGGGCGATACCAGATCGTTTAGGATTCTTGCTGGTGGAGTTAATTAACATGGAGAGATATTCTTTGTACAGACCACGACATTTTCATGCAGAGTTAAACAGGTTTTCCCAGGTACAACTCTACTTCATATGAAATATTGCCCATGTAAAATACTGGCTAATTGTAAGTTGTTCACAAGAATTCAGAACTGGTGGCCAAGGTTCAATTCTGCTACTGCTTTGATGTCAATCTGTACAACAGCATTGTAGTCCACAGACTGAATGGTATTTCCAATCATCCTTAATGCAGATGTCTCTAAAATCTCCCCCATTTTTAATTACCAGTCATACATGTGCTGTTGGTCGTTTCTGGCATTCTAACAAGTTCCTCAATAGATGTATTGTTATCCTGGCCACATTCAAGGTCAAGGTACAGGAGATTCTTTCACAGGGGCAGAAGAGTAAAAATACATTCCTAGGGATCCCATTCCATCTGTATTAACAAAATACACACACATGGGAGAATATACATCCCCCAGCTTGTTCAAGGTTTTCGCTCTATTCACAACACTGGAACTGCCCTCCCCTCTGCACATGACTTGGCAACATCTTCTTAACAGAATAATTAGAAGTGAGGTGGTAGGAACTGCTTAGGAAAGACTGGGCTATCTAACGGAAACTGGTCTTCTTAAAAAGATGTCTCTGATCCTGTGCTCTCTGGAACAAACAGGATTAAAATAGTGCCACAATCAAGGATTCTTCCCATTCCATTGATACTTCTTCAACAGAGTAATGGGGATTTTCTGTGCCATGTGGTGGTTTTTGCTTCCTCTATTATCTCAATCATTGCCCAGCAATGCTGGCAAGAGGGACATTGAAGAAATAGTGGTGGACAAAAAAAATCATGTGGTACCACTAGAAGTGTCATACTCTGAAGAAAATAAGACCGCATGTGGAACAAAGGCAAGAACAAGCTGGGGTAACCTGGAGACTCATGGACTCCTCAGGGAGTATGAGGATGACTTTCTGGTTTCAGTCAAAGAGTCTTGGGAACAGCCACACTTGTTTGGCATGTGCCTAGAAGATATGCAGTCGACAGCTCTAATGGCTACAAAGCAACTTGCAAACTTTCTTGGAGATCCTCAAGGAAGACAATTGGTGATCATGCACCTACAAAATGGTATGTTCTTTCTCACTCTCCTAAAAAAAAAAAAAGCAGTTGCTTGTAATTTTTAAAGTGCTGCCTTAATATTAGTTACTAATATATATTTTTATCTCACCTAAAGTGAAGTGGGAACCTGGTGTCAGCATGCATTTTCATGGAAGTGTACAAGAACACATTTCTCCCATCCTTCAACACTTGCACTTACTTATAGGAGTATTTTTTCTTGATATCCTCAAACTTCCTGTGGGTCATCTTAAATCCAAGATCAGGATGTCAGGAGAAGCTTTCCCACAGCCACAAGTAAGTATATCTAATTTAATAACAAATTTAATTAGCTTGGACTATGTGGAAATGTTAGCGTCATGTACTCCTAATTGGGACTTATTAAATTTAGTATCTAGAATAGGTTTGGGCATAATGTATTGTTAGAGCTGGTAGAGCATGTTTGAAATTGTAGTTCTCTGTGGCTGAAGCCAGTAGTTGGATGAATGGTTGTTAAAAGGGTCAAGTGCACCACTGATACAATATATTATACTAAGAATGTATTATATTAACTGTAACAGTTTATTCTATTTTAATAATTTTGCTAATTGAAATTCATGTCTATTAAGACAAAGCTGAACTTTTGATTAAAGCACTGTATTTATAGGTTGTCTGCATGTCACCAGAGACCCGCTATCTTGTCCTCAAACTCAGTGGAACAGTTAAGAGTGTTGAGTCGGGGGACCTGAAGCTTCACATCTCCTTTCATATGAAACAGTACCCTGAGGGTAAGGAAGCAAAAAGAATGAAGTGCTATGACTGTATTTTTAAGGAAGCATGTGAAAAGAATAAGTAGGAAGAATTGCCTTTGCTAGCTTGTTTTTAAAATGCACAAACTCCAGGGCAGACATCCTTATCTGTACTCACTACCTAGCTAGTCAATGAAGGTTAAGCAGACTACAGCCAGTGAAGTCTTTAATGTTTAAGTCTATTATGTTACTCAGTAGTGAAAATAGGTTTAGGGTGACAACCCCAGTGCCTACATATTTCAAAACTAGTCAGCAGTGGCAGCTTCCATATGTGGAGCTTCACAAGTTCACTTTAAAGAGCTAGTCCACCTGATATTGATATTTTAGTATTTGGTAGTTCCTAGAGAGCTAATACCTGTGGGTAATAAGATCACATCAAAATTACACTTATTTTGTATAGCAGACACATTATTTCTGGTTTCTTCTTGAGCATTCCATATCATGAATACCAAGACCAGCACCTTTACTCACTGGATCCGGCTTGTCTATTCTTCTTCTGCACATTACTATGGGGCCACCACAGTGATGTCTAGGCTCATTAAACAATGGTGAAAGGTGGGATTTGGTGGATCAAAGCTGGTGAACACAGAAACGGATGGCTTCTGGCATATCAGAGCAGTAATCAGGTCTCACAGGATGATCTACAGATAATTGAAAATTATGTGAGAGCACTTGGGTATATGCTATACAAACAGGTTGTTATTTCCCATAAGTCAAATTCCAGTCAATACAATGGGAGTTATATTTTTAATGACATTTTTTCGATGGTTCATCATCTTTTAAACGCAGATACTGCAGCCCTTTTCAATTCAGAGTTTACTATGCTCAACTAATTTAAGGGTTATCTTCCCAAATGAAAAATGAGTCTGAGAAATCACATGGAGAAAAACAGCAATTTCATTAGAACAGAGAAAGGTCTAAATCTGCAAAAAGGTTTGTGTACAGTTTACGTAGCAGTTTAGGATGGGAAAGGATGGGGGAGAGGAGGTTTGATACCGCAGGGACTTCAAGGTCCACCCTAATTGTTTGTGATTATTTTTAGTGTTAGGGAGTTAATTAAGGACAATTTACACTAGCAGAAATGTACTTCACTTTTCTTCTCACACCTCTAGCTTAAGCCCTCAAAACAGCTGGCTCAACAATGGCATTTATATGTTTGTGCTATTTCTGGGGTATAATGGTATTAAAATTAAAAGTGCTTGTAATATGCATTGTGAAATATTGTAATGTTTATTGTATATTCAACTTATAACTATATATGTTTACCCAGTTTGAGGCAGAGTTATAAGTATTAAGAAAGCTCCCTCTACTGTCATAAATCCAATCAGATTCCACCTTTCTAAGCCATGCTGGACCTTTTCTCTTCGTTCTTGCATTTTAATAAATCCTCTAATGGGTCTCATGCATTAAAGCATCAGCACTAAGAATTGTTTTTAATTGTCCCACAGCCACCAATCAGTTTCAGACTTATAGATTGCAACCGTTTTTAACTGTGGCCAATAAACAATACTGGTTCAAAGATCCTCCAGAATAGATCTTTTTAAGATTAAGTGCCTATGCTACTCGGTATAAAAAGCAAACTGGTCCTAGTTCACCTGATTCCAGAATAGCAAAGGGGGATTAAAGTCAAGTTGACAACTCATATAGATTTCTTACGGGGACTATCATACATCCTGTTTAAAGAGACCATTTATTTTGTCAGATCTCTACCGCAATGATCAATTATAAATATTTATTGTAAAAAATGTGGATCCGCGCTTTATGGGTAGCCCTGATTTAATATCCTGATATTAAAGCAGCTGCGCTCTCAACCCTGGGGTCAAAATCGATAAAGTGTAAATTGTGCAGCGCTAGAAACTAAAGTGCATAATATATAAAAAATTTATGCATACCACACTATGAAGAGGTTTCTCTTTTTTATCTAAATCCGTAACGAACGGAGTGTTACTAAGAGAAAGGATCTGGGATGCGGACCCTCTAACTTGGGATCTTTTGCTTCATTACCTCAACCCGTGGGGTGAGTACACACCCGAAAGGGGGCAGTTTGAAAACACCGTGGTGTGGGAAGAATTCACCAATTGATGCACTGACTGAAGATATTTACTTGAAATGTTCATTGGATCCAATTTTTAAACATATCACGGTTTTCTAATTTGGGACTTTTTTAAGTTTTATATTTGTCATCAGCTGTTCACAGAAATGTTTTGATACTAATTTATCACTTTAGCACTTTATTATGGAAAAACACAAGAGTGAAAATATTATATATTGTAATTTTTGACATTGTATATGGTTTTGATACTGGATAACTTACACTGTGGATACACTTTATTTATAAGTATTTAAATAGTTAGACACTGTATATTATAGATTTGTCATATTATCTAATTTATATATATTTATATATTTAATTATATATATTTATATATTTACACTTTTTTATATTTTTTTATATATTATGCACTTTAGTTTTTAGCGCTGCACAATTTTATACACTTTAAAAATATTTATTATTTTATTGCATTAGTAAAACAATCAAGCAAGGCATCAAAACAATCAATCCAGATGAAACTTAAGGCCCCGTTCCCACTGCGCGATATGCAAATCGCGCGTTTGTTGGACCCTTTGCCCCATTGGATTGCATTGGAGCTCGATATCGCGCGGTAATTTGCCGCGTTATCGCGGGAATTACCTCACGATAAATCGCTCAATGTGAACGGGGTCTAAGTGGGACCATTTCAATCTATAAACATGGATTGTCAACTAATTTTTTGATATACATGTATAGGTATAATCAACCAAAAATGCCCTTGGTGCAATAAAAAGTATTGAACTTTAATACACACAATCTATTATTATGATAAAATTTCACTTGAAGCCTGGATTGATACACTAACATTAATTGTTACTGACAATCTGGACACATGTCTTTGCTTTTTCTCTTGACAGTGTGAAAAACATTTACTACCACAAAATGTATAGTTCTTCTGTTACTTTGCCATATAATTATTTCTGCCTTTTGTGGACAGGACTTGCAGTTCCAGCTACTGAATCAGAGCAGTACCTGTTTGGTATGGATGAAAATTGTTTGACCAAGATCACACCGGTTATACTTATGATTGTAGGCCATCATGCCCAGACTTCAGTCTATCCATCCATCATACAGTCTGATCAAACCGGAAGAGGTTCCAGGTGTGTATTAAAGACTATTGTCTCCATTAACATTTTGCTGGGAACTGCAGTTTGTAGAAGTTTATAACTGAGTAACTTTACAGCATGTAGAGATCTGTTTAAAAGCTGTTCAGTAAAGCAGTATTATCTGGTGATAAGCTAATAACTAATAACGAATTTGCTTGTATATTATTTATTGGCCTAAACACCAGTAAAGATTTAAGTTTATCTGGCAAGCCAGTGCAATTTTTTTTGACCTTGCATTGCCTGCTGGTTCTTAAGACTAAGAGAGTTATTCACAAAAGGGTGAAGAGTTTGGAGAAGGCAGGAGAAGTGAACAATCTAGGACAAAATAGCTGATTTGGAACAATTCTCCAATCCAGCTCACTTTCCAGTTCAGCTATGTTGTCCTAGATTGTTCACTTCTCCAAACTCTTCACCTTTCTGTGAATAACCCTGTAAGCATCTTCTAAATGTTGTATTACATTTGTTCACCCCTGTTTTAAATCAACAACAGTATTACCTATAATATTCAAGAAAAATTACATGGGCTTGCCACAGTGAATCTGTGCTATTTCTTAAAGTACAACATGCACCATAAGGTCCTAGTTGTCTTTCAGACCCTCAATAATCTTATGCAGATACCAGCTTTCTGAAAATAGGTATTGCAAAGGGCTAAGCACACATTTTACCTCCCATGTGACAGGTAATTGGCAGCTTGGGCAGGACTGAAAAATTCAGAACATATCAACATAGGGAGCATAAACTGCTTTATCTACTGTGTTTATTCATGGAGTTCTTCAAAAACTCAGCTCAGCTACGTATTTGTAAAAAATATTAAATATATTCTAAAATATTGTGGGTGCTATCAGCCTAACATGTTTACTGGCACCAAAATCTGGAGAGGCGGTATTTAGAAAATTAGGATTATCTAAATACAGGAAGATAAAGTGTGGCGATGCTCTTTCATAACCATAAGCAGGCAGATGACACATGAAGTGTTGTAGGAGTATGTTTATTACAAAAGTGACTGAGCAGAATTAGCAGTATTTTGGCAAGTAAATCAGTTTACATATACTGTATGTATTTCAATGGTGTGTTAAATTGGAGTTTCACATTGGGTTATGTTTTTGAATTTGTATGAAAAGAATCATGAGAGCTTCCACTGCTGACTTTTTAAAGTTTTTAAAGTTATAGACCGGGTTGTCATTCTGATCCTGAATTTGCAATCAAGTTACTTACTTACCTGAAACAAGTATGGAGCCAGGGAAGGCTAGAATGTCTGAACTAAATACTTGTTCCAGGTCAGTAGCTCATGGGGTTGCAAAGTCAAAATAAAAAGCCTTGCAGCATTTAAAAACAAGTCACCGATTGCACGTGCCATATTTGTCCTCACAGTTCCCCTTTAAGAGTATTTACACCAAGTGCTGAAAGGTTAGGTATACTCTCTTATAGGCGCCACAATTTTTCTACTGACCCTTTAATCCTCATACATGCCACAGTCAAGGATTTAACTTTACCCATAGCAGACCATATTCTTGCTAGAGAGGCAGAGGGAGATCTGTACTATCTGGTTCATAGTGATGAATACAGATGGCAAAAACATTTAGCAAATAGATTTGGATACACGTTTTTGTAATATACAGTGTGGGAATCTCTAGAAGATTGCTATAGTAGGGGCACAGGGCTGCTTAATAATTTTGCTAGGATGCCCCATGATGCTGTGGGGGCCAGCTTGCTGTCTGTTTCATTTCCACAGCTACCCTTTTAATGCAATGTACAGTCACTGAGATGCTGACCCCTTCATATGTAGTGCTCATGGTGCATACATTTCCTATGTGGCTAATACGTAGTATCATGTTTTCTTTGCAGATTGCAGTCTAACCGAATGGTGGTCCCATCTCAGAAAAAAGATGAATTTTTACAAACACTATCTCACTTCTCAACACTTCTGATGACATCTGACGGAAAAGCATCTTCCACTATTCATCTTCCTCTTGATCCTAATGATGACAGTGCTGGTGACCTTCGACCCCAACTTTTAAATGTTACAGAAGTTGAGGCCTTGGAATGGCTGGTCGAATCTCAGGAGCCGCTTGTTTTTCTATTTTTGCCTGGCAGCAAAAATGTACTGGCCAGCAGAATTCAAGGTAGCTTAAATGGAACATTGCTAGAGAAGATAACAGAAAAGATGCAAGTGGTACTAGAAGACCTGAAGGAAATAATTTCAACTGCTGAGCATATCCAAATTCTTCAGGGACTTTTAAACTCTTGTTATGGCTATTTCAACATTAGCTATTTGCATACGGAAGAGGAGAAAGTACCACAGTTGACAGAAAGTAAGCATAGGAAACTGCATTCTCTGATGCTTCTTAAAATGTTACAGACAGTTCGAGCCTATTGGCAGGACCGCAAAAAACTTTCCCGCCAAAACCGGGGAGCAGATCTGAAACCTCACTGCCGCTTACAAGAGCTTTCCATCAACTTAAAACCTTATGCAGAATATAAGGATATTTATTTTCCTGAGGAAATCAACATAAATAACTGTGTGGGGCCATGCCACTTTCCCCAGACCACTCAAAGTGACTATCAGGCCCATGTTATTCTGCTCATCCAACTTCAAGAGAGAAGACAGTCTGTCCTTGACCGACCTCCATGTTGTGTCCCGATACGATACCAAGAACAATGGCTGATGGTAGCACATGAGAATGGCATTAAGCTCCAGCTTTACCCCAACATGGTTGCAAAAGAATGTGGCTGCAGATAATGGCATCGGTGTGCATTATATACATTTATGTGAGTGAGTCCTTGATTAAATAAATATTAGCCGCAAGAGCAGGAAAGGTATTGCCCATATAAAACATTTGTAGCTCCAGCATCATTTTTCAAGCATGGGGTAGAATGTGGAAAACGAATGACTGGTTTGCTGGGCAACATTTCCAATTTTCCTTTCATCTAGTGCTTTAATGCATCCCACTGTATACAAGCTGATTAATAGTTGAGAATTTCTCTTGATCAAGGGATTCATGCATCCTGCATAGCATCCTTCTTCCTCTGGATTTTATTTCTTTAAGTTTGTCAAATATGTTTATATAAACCAGGTTTCTGATAATATTAATAAGTCACCAGTATTTGCAATATTAAACTTTGTACACATAAGCAATAAAAGGGAGAATTTATTCATGAAGTCGGCTGAGCACCATAGAATGAGTTGAATATTGCAGTAAACAGGGGTATCCCTAGTCTTATTCGCTAAGCAAGGCGTAGGGGTTGGGGGTGCCTGTGGTGCACGCTAACAGAGGGTGGGCGAACTCTGCATCATCGTCGCACCCAGCTCCTGAAAACCAGTGCCATCACCAGAGCATCCTGCTCCGCTCCTGGCAAGCCGCTCTGCTGCCCCCCCCCAAGTGACACAAAGAGATGTCGCCTAAGGAAACAGCCTCAGGCTGCCTCATTAGAGGGATCGCCCTGTCAGTAAACAGACTGTTGCCGGCGGTATGAAAGCCTTGCCTGAATCTATAGGCACATTAACTTAAATCACTTGCCCTAATGCGCCTCCTCCATCCAGCACCCAACTGAGTCCATCCTTTAAGTATAAATGCCTTACAATGTAAGTTCCAGGGCAAGAAATGGTTGCAATAGTACTTAATAATCTGTAAATGTTATTTGAAATTCACAGTATATATTGGATGTGTAGACTCACTGCACGTATTGACTGTTCTCCTGGCTCTCCATACACGTAAAAGACTCAAAGGAGGTAGAAATCAGTACATCAATGTAGATCATAATGAAGTTACGAAGTCCTTTAAAAGTGTCATCTAAATAAAACAAACACTCACTTTATTACTATCCAAAAGGTTAAAAAAAACAGCAGTACACATTTTGAATATGCAGGGTTTTGGTATCCATAAATACGTAAACTAGGATAAATAATATTGTACACTTACCACCACTTTTTGTTTTTAGATAGGACTTTGAGTGAAGCAAAAAAAAAACAACCCAAAACTGAAGCATGTGTAAGCATAAAGTATAATATTTTAGTTGTATCAGTCGAATATATATTAGTCTGTGGGAATCAGTTTAACATGTCCATGGCTACACGACATGTTCCAATTTAAGAAATTAGCCTACTTTAAAGATAATACATTCAAAATGATGTAGCTGCTATTAAAAGTTAAAGACCAAATTACAGCTATTGTCTTAAGAATTGTCTAAGCTTCTGTTTTACTTCCTCTCCAGAAAGCCATCTATGTACCAGAAGATGCATTTTTCATAAGGGTTCTAATCTGCAAATACGCAGAGTTCCTCCCACCAACACACATATAGATTGGAAAGGGATGAGGGATGAGCAAAAGCAAACTTATATGAAAACACTGCACTTTTGCAAAAAGAAGACAAACTAAACATAAATTGTTATAACAGAGTATATAATCAGTCTTCTGGAACAAAGTCAAATATTCACCAATCTCAGCTCCCCTTGCCCCCTCATTTGCACATATATTGCTGTACCTTTTTGCAGTAAAAGTTATTACAGAATTGCCCAGTCATTGGGTCTTTTACAGCTCTTTGTAGCTTTGTAGCCTACTATGGCTGATAAACCACCAAGACCCACATGGCTGGCTAGTACATAAACTACTTTTACTGGTTAAAGGTACAGCATATCTATACAATCTATTTATGTCAGTTATGGCCTAACCCTGTTTCTCAAATGTTCTCATTTTATTCATAAAAAAAAAAAAAAAAAAAAAACTCCAGCACAAACAAAAAAAAAAAAAATTATAACTGCAGCTATATGGAAAAAAAAAA